TCCCATCCTCGCCTGACTCCACCGGCTTCCCACCACTCAGAGGATACAGTTCAAGACCCTGGTCCTGACCTTCAAAACCCTCTATGGCCTCATTCACCCCTACCTCTGCAACCTCTTAATCCCCTGCCACCCTACACGCTCTCTCCGCTCCGGCCTGCTTCATGTACTCCGCCTCGCCATTGGCGGGTGGGCCTTCAGACACTCTGCCCTATCCTCTGGAACTCTATCCTGCCATCCCTCCGCTTCCCCCCTCCCGTGCCTCCTTCAAGACCCGCCTCAAGACCCTCCTCTTCGACTGTGCCTTCGGTCACCCCTCCTACCTCCCCTGCTCTCCACCCTCCGAGATCCCGATGCCCAGCTAGGGTCCGAAACATTGATTTTCCAGCGCATTGGGACGTCCTCCCCAAACGAAAGGCACCATACAAATGTAATTTTGTTTCTTGTGGTAGAGGACATTAATTTAACATAGTTAGCAAAGGAGGATTGGGTGACATTGGGAAGACAGTTGTTGGGGTACTGAATGCTCTGCCGTGTGTGGCGATTCCTATACAAATGTAATTTGTTGTCATCGTTGTTGTTTTCTTGGTGGATTATTATCAGGCGTGTGTGTAGAGTAACAATTACTGGGATTGAGTGACCAAATTATTATTTTATTTTTTGAAGCGATTATTACCCCTAGAAAAGCGATCCGCCAATCGACTAAAAGAGGCGTGTGGAGTAAGGAAATTTGTCTAAGATTTCGCTCTGCCCGGGAATCGCACCCGGGTCCTCTCGCTCGCGAGGCGAGTCCTGTAGCTCTGACCACTTGGGAGCTGCAGGACTCCACAAGGGATACACTGTAAAAGTGAATGGACCGCATACCTTGCGGGCGAGACGCGGCGGCAGATCGCGCACGGCAGCGTCCCGCGCAAACGGTGCTGGGATCGAAGCGACCAATATTTTTTTATTATTATTATTATTTATTATTATTGTTGCTATTGTGGCTTATTTTTGTTCTGGGGGATGGGGGGGCGGGGGGGGGGGGGGTCATGATCAGGCGTGTGCGCGCGCGCGCGCCCGTGTGTTCGGGGTAAGGAAATGCCCGGGAATCGAACCCGGGTCCAAGTGTTGGTGGGGGGTGGGGGGGTGGGGGGGATTATTAAGGTCCAGTGGCTATGGTCCCCAGATTGGCTCCTGACACAGTTGCTG